TGTACTATAATACTAAACCTTTACTGTAATAGCAGACCTGTACTATAATACTAAACCTTTACTGTAATAGCAGACCTGTACTATAATACTAAACCTTTACTATAATACCAGACCTGTACTATAATACTAAACTTTTACTATAATACCAGACCTGGGCTATAATACTAAACCTGTACTATAGCATCAGTCCCGTACTATAATACTAAACCTTTACTGTAATACCAGACCTGTACTATAATACTAAACCTTTACTATAGTATCAGTCCCGTACTATAATACTAAACCTTTACTATAATAGCAGACCTGGGCTATAATACTAAACCTTTACTATAATACCAGACCTGTACTATAATACTAAACTTTTACTATAATACCAGACCTGTACTATAATACTAAACCTATACTATAGTATCAGTCCCGTACTATAATACTAAACCTTTACTGTAATACCAGACCTGTACTATAATACTAAACCTATACTATAGTATCAGTCCCGTACTATAATACTAAACCTTTACTGTAATACCAGACCTGTACTATAACACTAAACCTATACTATAGTATCAGTCCCGTACTATAATACTAAACCTTTACTATAATATCAGACCTGTACTATAATACTAAACCTGTACTATAATACTAAACTTGTACTATAATACCAGACCTTGGTGCCAGACCCTGAAGTTTTAATTATTTTATACGTAGCTTTTATATTTTACATATCTGCAATCATTACATGTCAACACAGCACAGTGATATCCACGAGTTATTTTCACTCTTGTTCATGTCACACACCGACAACGGGTGCCCCCAAACAAATCTACAATGTTTTGCACTAATCAAACATGGCGGTATCTACGAAACGGTTTATCAACAAGTCTTTCCCTTTCCAAAATTGTCTAAAGGTCAGGGACCTAAATATCAAGATTGTGGATCTTAGAGGAAAGTTCAAGAGACCCCGGCTGAAGAAGGTTCGTATGTCTGCTGACGCCATGCTGAAGGCTCTGCTGGGCTCCAAACACACGGTCAACATGGACCTGAGGGCCAACCTGAAGCAGGTCAAGAAGGAGGTCAAAGAGGAGGTGAGCTGCTGCCTGCTTAATACAACTTCAAATGTCCAAAAACTCACTTCATCTAATCTCTGACTCACATTTTTAGTCCACTTATTTGTATTCGACTAGTTTTCATATCAGCCTGTAACCTATGACACCTCTCGTCTGTTTTTGTAGGACAAGCAGCTGCGTGATGTGGGAGACTGGCGTAAAAACATTGAGGACAAGTCTGACAGGAAGAAAATGTTTGACAGTTAAATTAGTTATTTTTTTCTTGCTTATAAGTAACTTTTAGGGCTTAATTGGTCTCTTTGTACCTGAAACGTTTCACTAAAAATATGTAAATTCACTTATACTTTAACTGAAGCAAAGAGATAAAACAAAATGCAACAAACTAATACACGTGGATCATCTGAAATCCTACAGGTTTTTGATTTTTTTTTTTAGCTTTCGCTGTGATAACATTAGTGATAATTGGTCAGAACCAATGAAAATGAAGCAGAAATATTTGTAATGGAGCAGAAGTTTGCCTTTTCAGACAAGTTGTTGAAAGTATGATATGTTTTTGGTAGACTATCCGCTGTTAAATATAGTTATTGTTTAGAAAAAGCTCTTCATTTACAACTGGATTAGTTTAGCCATGAGACTGGATGTGGTTGTGAAGTGAGTTTGAGGCAACTGCATGAATTTAACATGCTTTTCATTTCAAATGGATGGACTATTTTAGATTCTTCTAATTTGAAAATAAATTAAAATGGATTGTAAGTCAGCTTCATTTATTTACCTAATTATTTTTGTCATTAAGCTGAAAACCGTGACTGTTTCTTATAAGGTTGTATACAGTAAGTTCAAAATTAATTTTACTGCAGTTATTGTTACTTGAGTTACTTTTCAGTTAAAAAAATAGCAACAAACATCTAAGAAACCTGAGCAACCTTACAGCAGAGTCATCAAGTCTAAATAACTCCTGAAATTATGAAGTCTTTTTAAACAGAGCAGTAGCTTAAATAAAATTTATATTTGATTGTATTTCACAAAATGATTGGAGGAGTTATTTGATGTTTAGTAAATGAGCGTTCATTACCGCAATACGCCTGACTAACACTTGTGTTTCCTCTTTAATTGACCAGCCAGTTGTTTAAAATAAATGTCTACGTTTTCATTCATTTTCATGTTTAATAAACCCCATGTAATTTTGTTTTGTAACTTCTTTGCTGTCAAATAAACAGAAGCTTTAGGTTGGATGTTTCTTGTCTTGTTTAGTTGTTATAAAAGCTGACATTTGTAACTGAGTGCCAGTTTATTAAAAGATTTATCCTGACTTCCTCAGCCTGATGGTAAGCTGCTCTTTACCCAAAGAGACCATAATGAGAATATCAGAGAATGATTTTCTCTGCGAACTTCCACCCATGAGTGGAATCCTGCTGCTGTTAGCATTGTAGCTGCCAGACAAACAGGTTAATGATGGTTCTTCATCTATTGACTGGAGCACGGTGCTGAATGACTGCAGACACTTTTTAATGTAAAATAAAGAAAATTACGATAATCAGACCTAAAGCTGGTAAACACTCTCTTCCTCTTATATAAGAGAATGGATTTGAGTTCACAAACGTGCAAAAACTGTCCATCTAACCAAGTTTTAAAATCAGCCAAAAAAATCTTTTTGTTCTTGTTTTGAGACTGATTTACTAAACAAGAACTGATTGTGTAAGAATAATAATCTTGTTTTCAGAATGTGTAAGATTATTTGTCTTGTTAATCTGAAAATTTGACTCAAATTAAGTCAAAATTTTCTGCCAATGGAGTAAGAAAAATTTACTTGGTAAGAAATAAAAAAAATTTGAATCAAATCAAGTATTTCAAAAATTTTATCAAGTAAAATTTTCTTACTCCATTGGCAGAAATTTTTGACTTAATTTGAGTCAAATTTTCAGGCTAACAAGACAAATAATCTCACACATTCTGAAAACAAGATTATTATTCTTACACAATCAGTTCTTGTTTAGTAAATCAGTTTCAAAACAAGATCAAAAAGACTTTTTGGCTGATATAAGATTTTAAAACTTGGTAAGATGGACAGTTTTTGCAGTGTAACCACACAGTTCATTTGTTAATTACATTTTAACTGTTAGTCAAAAATATATTCCTTTTTTTGTCACTTCAGTAGAAAACAAAGCTAAATATTAGTTTATTTAGTTTATTTATTTCTTCATCATCAGTGACTTTTTTAAGTGAAGAGAAAATAGAGACAGAGAGAAAAACAGAGAGAGAAGTAATTAGAAAGATAGAAAGATTGAAATAGTGATTAGAAGTATATTAAATATACACCAAATAAATATATTCCTAGTGTGGGACTGAAAATCAGATGATAATGATGATGGCTCTAAATGGAAAGCTACGGTTTATAACAATCTACACTTCATATAATTTAATTGTAAAAGATATACACACTATACTGTCTTTTACTTTAAATACAATTTAGAATAGATGGAACAAATGTCGGAATAAAACCCAAGATGGATCCTTGAGATTTTACATCAGATAAATAAAATAAGAAGTGAACCAATCATGGACAGCTCACTGAATCTGAACCTGCAGGCATTTAAAAGGACAGAGTGGTGATCAGCTCTGACACATAACAGAATTATTTATCACTGTCTTTGGAGAAACCAGGTCACACAGAGGTTTTATAAAGCAGGTCCGGTACTGTAGGCCTATTCAACAGGTGGTCCGTGGGCCAGATGCAGCCTTTTTTAATTCCTTTGGCCCCAAATCTGTCAGGATTTTAAACGGATAAATCTGAATATAAAGCTTAAAATACAAAACATCAGAACTTCCTTGAGCCAAATATTAAATTAGTACAAGTCTATCTCTGTTGAGCAACAAAGGAAAGGGGGTGGGGCATGTGCACAGATTAACCCACACATCAGATCTGCAAAAAATGCCGTAGGATTGCAGTGAGAGTGGGACTAGCCAAGCACACTAAGAAAACACTAATGTGGATTTAAAACTTAAAGACTTTCACTTTTCTGCGCAAATGCAATATTAAATTCTTAATGCTAAAAGATATTTATGTCAAAAGTTGTTAAAGGAGCTGAAAAGGTTTAATAGCAAAACTTTGAGTAAAACTTGAACAGCTGACTTTTCCTGAAAGCAGGAAAATAAAAGTGAAAAACAGAAAAAATTGTGTCAAAAAGTTGAAAAAAAAAAAATCAGCAGAAAAAAAGTGAATATTTGCACAAATGTGGCTTAAAAAGCAGAAAAAACTGAAACT